ACAACCCGCTCAAAACACTAACTCGCCCTTGCAACCGGTTATCAATTCGATGTCAGAACAAGCAGATTCACTGGTTTATTATTTGCGTAACCCAGAAACAGTCAGGCTTATGCAAATCCATAACATTTTTGTGTCAGATATCACTCGACGGCTTTGGCCTACCTGAGCCTATTTCACCCAACCACTGTCGTCTCGATGGAAAGAATTGTGATTGTCTGTGTATGCGGAACACAGGTTGACGGAAGGTCGAGAAATACGATCACCTTGGCGCACCGAAATCAAGTCTTTCTGTCAACACCATGTATTTCCGGTGCATCACAATTGTCGGTGGCTTGATAATAAACAGACTTTCCATGCTTTAGGGTACGTACTGTCTTGGGGGCGGCAAACCACGCTATACCAACTCAAAACAGAGTATGGAGGCTTGAAAAGTTACCGTACGATGACAAGGATATGAGAATGGAGGGTCCAAACCCGCTTGCCAGGGATCAGCATAACACCTGGGTATCGCCAAGAAAGCGAAAAAGAACAACTCGCTAAAGCTTGCGGTCCAGTTGCTGATGATCAACTCGCTCGGCTTAGCCTTGCTCATGACTTGACATGTACACTGGTTTCGGATAATATTACCCAGAGTGATGATTTAACGCAGAAACATTCACACAATACACGCGTCAGGAAGATTGTCTTCAATGAAGTCCGTGGAGGAAAGCTACTGTATACAAGAGTGATGGCTCTTTACCGCGAGTGTGTTTGCTCGTTGCATACCTATCTGTTCAAAGATGATCAGACCCAGGGACCTTACACCTGGGATGATGCGTTGCCCTTGCGCTAGACTACAAAGCGATATACTTGGAGCCACTTGGAAACCCGCTGCCATGGGTCCAGCACAAACCAGCAAGGGTTAGGCACGGAGAGTTAACCACGGAAGGACGACCTGACCAGGGTACGAAGATTTCTATAACCGGCACACGCACGCATTCCAAGGTCCAATTTCTTATCCGCCCTAGGATTACCATGAATATCACATACGCTTGGCTCGAAGAGATAACTCGAACAGGAGTACAGTACAACAAGGGGCTTCGCTACATAAGAAACGACGATGAAAGAATCAATTTCGGTGTCGCGAGTTGCCGTTGCATCTTCCTTTACAAGCCACCTACCCCCGGCCCTACAGATACATACATCCATGTATGTAAGTCAGCAAGCAGAAACTGCCTCAGATGGCCGCAGCGGCGCAACGACCCCGGCTTGGCCGGGTCAATTGAGTACCATCTTACACGACGTTAGCCCCCGGCGTGCATGCGGGTTTGTGATCATGCAAGTACCTATATTGAAATGATGACTTGCGCACAGTCATCGATTATTCTCATATCCTTCATGACTCGTCGCTATACCTTACTGTACGCCTGAGATATCTGATCTTGGGTAACCTGGTCCTCTTTCACGTCCCTTGTCAGTTCTCCCATGTCGATGAATGACTCTGGAATACATACCACTCGAGCAATACCTTACTTCGGTCCCACACCTTTAGACGAGCAACATCCATTCCTTTTGCACGAAGGAGCGGTAGCAGTAGCAGTAGCAGTGGGGAAGGCGTGAGTTTGACGGTGGTCGTGGGCGGACTACGGTCGACGGTACGCCGTAAGTTACGGTAATGGCCACTGGGCTTGGTTTCGGTCTGGGAGATTTGCGGGCGGTTTGAAAGCTTGAAGCTGGAACCTTGCCCGAGTAGCCAAGAAATCGAGTGTGCCTGGGCAGACCGGTAACTCAATTGCTTTGCACGGCACCAGTGCACTTTGCTTTTTGCCATGTTCTTGTTTTTGAAAGCTACACATGTCTTGATTGGTGGGTACAGGTATGCCTGCTCACAGCATTGTTCTCACCAACTGATGGTAGCATGAAACAGCCTATCCAGATCACCCAGCGAGTGCCCTTGAGGCTTGTATACAATTTGAATGATACAGAATCGACATAACCAGCATAGCAAGACAATCAGGTCACCATTACATACTGTATTGCAGCAGCCCGAAGCTCAGTCATTCCATTCAACTGATGATGAACGGCTACTGAGATGGGTTTGAGCGACAAACAATCATTTGCTTAATACAAATGGGCAGATTACACATAGACAGAGGCATTGAGGTATCTTGCTAGGTATGTTTCACTGGATCAAGGACGAGTTCAATGGTTTATTCATGATCGGCCAACATTGGACAGGCTTCGCTTAGTCGAGTAATTTTGTCCTTCGCAGCATGAGCACACACTGCCACATAAGGACTTGAGACATTTACTTTGGGATCGTCAGTCACCAGCGCTACCTGACATTCTTTCAAAACGTGTGTGCATGGTCAACGCCCTGCGGCGTAGCTTTGACAGCTATGCTATCCGTACAGTATGCTGCAGTAACTGTACCTAAGCTAAGCTATGCCACAGGTCCAGCCCCGGGTGGCCGGGGCGTCTCCAGCTGCCGCCGGTTCCTCCGTCCGAAAGCTCCATACCTACCGATCGGGGATGTCCAGAGTGGGCCAGAGTTCAGCCATCTGTCCAAGACCTTCGCCGCCCGAGTCCGCACCACTCGGGTTTGATCGATATACGCCTATAAAGCTAACACGACACCCCCTTGTTACGGCAGTTGATGGCTGCGACTGGGCTCATTTGGTAGAGACTGGGGCTGGAGATACCCCCCTCCCAAGGGGAATCATCACCCCTTTTCCTCGACTCTGGCGGAGGCTTCTATTACAGGGGCTTCGAGACACTCGCAAGGCGGGCCGGCGTCATTCACCAAGCAAGCACTCAGTCAAATCACACATCTGTCTTAGCGAGCTAATTATTGATGGATCTAAAAGAAAAGACCTTAGTCTTAGCTGGCATGTGGGGTTTCCTCTCATCGAAGGTAAAGAGGGAATCTCCAAGGGCCGTATCATCAGACTCGACACAAGACAAAGAGCAATGAATGCATGGATGTACGTACCTACCTACCGTACTGGACGTTTCCCCTTTGATCAAATCATCAATCGCTCTCCAATTTAGTTTCAATACCTGGTGTTTTGACTAGGTGCCCCGCCGAGACTGGACTGGTATTATTGTTTATTTGTTTGTATGTTTTCAATAAGCAAGCAGACTACGGAGTAGTATATGGTTTACTATGTACCCCTTTGTCTTGATTACAGCACACTAGTTACTGCTCGCTTTTTGGATCTTCAACCCAGGACGATACCATCTTTTCCCGATCAGCAATCCCTAGTGTTCAGGGATCGGTCGAGGGGCGCTGCTCGTGATATGCTTTCATGACGGCTCAATACCGTACTGTGCATTATACTGCAGGGAGAGCCACCTCTGGTTATCCGTATTTACGGATGTACGTACTGTACTACCTATACAGATTTCTGCCCTGTGCCGTCCCGTCCCATCCCATCTGACACGTCTCGCACCTTGTCCCTGGTGTCACGACGGTACTAAACCGAACGAAATCAAAGCAAGCCAGCAGGCCCCCCAAGCCAAGACAAGCGAGTAGTGCATCGTCCACTCACGGCACATGGATCTTGGCTTGCGTTTCGGGGCTTTTGAGTCCTTAACTCTGCATCGCATGACGATGCTGTCGAGCGGCTCGCTTGCCCCTCTAGCTTCTCTCGGGTGCGTTAGCACTCACTAGCTGCAGACGGTTGGCCACTGCCCTGGTACCATGCATGCTACAGTAACTTAACTCATTAGATATCGACCATGGCGAATTTGCCCAACTGAGCTTCTAGACTAATCGTTGTCTTCATGCAGTAGCCCCGGCGCATCCGCGTGGTTAATTTGGTCTTGTGTCTTGCTTGCTTGCAGCGCAGCGCAGGCAACGTCTTCCGGTCCCCTTCTTGCATCCACTCACTCGCATCCATCACAGATGTCCCAGAAAGTTGAGACAAGACAAGACAGTGGAGGGCTGACGATTAAGCAGGACGGACGCCTCCATATTAACATTTGACCTTATTAGCTGGAGTACGTATCCATACCTACAGAACAGGACTAACAACAGTGATGGTTTGAGGGTAATCCCACGCTTTCTATTCACCATTTTCACCGCCTTTCTTCCCTGCCTTTGTCCGTCCCCTCCTTTTGCTTCCTCCACTGTCGGACGCTTTCTAGCCCAGTCTCTCTTTTTCCCACTTAATCTCTCACAATTGGGTTGAGGACATCGTCAGCCGCTTTAAGCCATGAGCAACTAGGTTGGCAGCGAGTGACCTGTGGTCTTGTTTGTATGCTGCATTTCGCATCTCGCACTCTGTCTTCTGTTGGTCTAGCGTCTTCGACTTTCCTCAGTCTTCCGGCATCCGACCCTTGCACCAGAAAATCTGACCTTTGATCGTCGTCAAGCAGAGGAGCACCCATCACATTGCTCTGTCACTCACTGTATCCGTACTGGGACCACCATAGCCAAGTATCCAGGCATTCAACCGCCTCCAGCCATTCTCCCCAGCATGTCAACCCCGAGCCCATCGAACCCCTCCCGCTGGACTTTGAGTGTGGCCAGTTGGACGGCGAAAGTCAGCTTCTTCCCCGTGCTCCAGTCGGCAGGGTGACAGATCAACCCGTACAGCATTCCGGCTATGAAAGTATCCCCTGCCCCTACGGCACTATATCTCGGACAGTGGTCAGTTCCTGCAGTTCTACGCGACTTGTGTTATGCGTCGTGCTGTGTGGGACATGGGCATGGACATACTCAACCACGGAAATCTCTCCTCCGGATTCATCCTGTGCATGGCAACGGGAGCGAAGAGTCTCGCCTGTTGACCGAGGCAGCCCAGCAGCTCCCTCTTCCCCCCACGTACACAGTGCTAGTGACCTATGTATGCGACGTCTCGTCAGCCAACATGAACAAACCCAAGCCAGTTCAAGTATAAGCAAGCAAGCAATGTCTTTCCATGATATTGTTGTACGTACGCCTTGCGGTGCCCTTCGGCTTTCAGGCATTGTTCAGGGGTGCTGTGCCCACGACTCTGTGCCCTTGTTAGATCCTCTCAACCAAGAAGGCCCAATATCTTTGAGTCCACTCTCACCTCAGCCCAACTGCGCGAGTAGAAGACGACGTCCGCCTCTGCCGCCAACTTTGGCAGACCTTCCCTGCCGGGCTTCTCAACTTCGACGCTGATGGTCGCTTTCGGTAGTACGTTACGCAGGAGCCGGATACAATTTTGCACGGTTTCTGGGATTCGGCCCTGTTGCGTCCATGTTCAGTTTGGCTGGTGTCCATGTGCAGAAGTTACTGCTGGAATCCTACCTCGAAGTGCCACCATGTCTCCTGGTCCGCTTCGAAACTTCGCGCGATGTTGCCGAACTCGTCTTGGGTCATCTCTGGGAGGTCGTTGTAGTTGACGAGCGTGCGGCTGCCCGACGCTTCACTGCGAATGATGTAACTGCTTGCCGCCTCTGTGCTCTCCTCTCGATATAAGCAATGGCCAAAGTCAATCTTTGACTGATGACCAAACGAGGATACAACACGCTCTGTTGCGGAGGATGAGGCGTTGGGCAAAGGTGATACTAGATGTAGCTGGAGGCCATCATGGTCTGCGAGCAGCTGCTCCAGGACTTGAAGCGAATTGGGGCAATTGCCTCCCCGTCGGATATTGATACTAGTAGCACGTAGCTTTGAATCCTCGGACGGGAAGAAGGGGACACTGAGGTTAGGTTAGTAGATGCCATGGTGTGTTGTTTTGATGGTGACATTCTTGAGGATTGTGTCCAAGTAGCAAGCACCCACGACGACTAGGTGCTTCATGATGTCTTGTCTTGTCTTAAACCGGAGCCTATCACCCTGTAACTTTGGTTTGCTTATCTCGTTATTCGCGATATGTCGTCTTCACTTTTGTTTGTGTTGCAGACAATAAAGACGATTCCAAGTCGTTTGTTGGAGGGGTTCTCCGCCAACGTAATCAAGTTCCACCGGCATTTCGTCACTATTATTCTACTCTTATTGAGAGGAGCGTTCTTGTTGCTGTTTATTGTTTATGATAAGGTAAAAGCCAGATTTTGCCCCCAGCCCCAGGTATAGTCAACATTGGTCTTGTTAGAGTGGTCATATTATATGTACAGTCTTGTGTTTGATGATATGCGCATACCTGGTATAGGGTAAGCTACCAGTGAGTCGCAGATTCTATTCAGACTTTTGCTTTATGTATCATGAGCTCTGGCATTCAATACTGTTGCACGCAGAGGAGATTGGGTATTAGAGAGGTTACAATACAATGGTCGTTGATAATGTTATCTCATGTTTACCTGATTCAAGAGTGTGTTGAGTAAGTATCAGTAAGCCATCAACTTGTACTGAGTCATCTCATTCCAATTGACTTTATTCATCTAAGCAGAAGCCTCTTCAAGCTATCAACTGTAAAAGAAGAGTGTTCAATCTGTTCACGAGTATGATACGCAGAAATAAATTCGGCCCTTCATAATCACGAGATCATCAGATTTAAATTCGGATTCAGATTCAGCAGCAAGCTCAGTGAGAGTCAGTGGGCCCATCTACTAAACTGCCCCGCCATTGAGCCCTGGAAGACAACGTCATCTGCCGGCCATTGACAAAAGACTGGACAGACGATCGCATCATTTTCTTTTGTGTACTGCACAATCAATCGAACTTTGAAGATGGGCGAACACTCGGAAAAACATATACACTTCCAAGACGGCGATTATGGCTCTGATGGCTGCTCAGACGATGATGATGCTAAGGCAGTCGAGGTATGCTTGACTACCTATACCTATACCTACTCCTACTGGAACCATCATACAAGAATGGCGCGACTAATACCGTAGAACCTGCGCAGGTAGTCTTCGATCCAGGAAACCCCTATCGTCGCAAGAGCTCCATGGTCGCCTCAGAAATCAAAGCGCCTGTGATGCGCCACCCTTCACGTCGCGACGAGTGCCTCGTCCACCAGTTCCTCGATAGTCAACGACGCGCCAAGGACGCTGCCTGCTCAGCCAGCGAACCCGAGTCGGAAACTTCGATGGGAAACGGTTCCTCGTACCTAAGCAACCACCCGGACCCTAGCCAGGCCAGCTTTCACAGGGCCCTCAATGGCGACCACGTTGAAGCCGTTCGCGACGAGAGTCTTGACTCGGTGGTCGACCCGAAATTCAAGAGGAAGTGTCGCGCTGTTGTAGAGCCTGGTAGCATGGATCACTCCGGCCAGGCTGACCAGCAGGCTTGGACGCAGCAAATGACCAAGAGCATGTCCGACCTCGACCTGGGAGGTGATCATGATGATGTGCGAAGTCGTCTGCTCACCAAGCAGCAGCTTAGCGACATGGCATGGGGCGTGAGAGAACTAAGTCGTCGGTTGAGCAGTATGCGCATTCGATTCAAGGTCAAGAGCATCTTTATCCTGACAAAGATCTACGACCAAGACTTGATCCCCAAAACAAGAGAATTGGTCAAATGGCTATTGCAGCATAACCATGAGGTCGCATACACCGTCTACGTCCAAGACAAGCTGAAGAGCAATAAGAAGTTTGATGTCAATGGTATCATTGATGAGGTAAGCAAGGGATACGTTGAGAAGGGTGATGCGAACGAACAAACAGTAAAAGACACACTCAACAAGCGTTTGCGATATTGGGACGAGAACATGTGTCGAACACGACCCCATACCTTTGACTTTGTCATCTCGCTCGGTGGTGATGGTACAGTGCTATATGCTAGTTGGCTGTTCCAGCGCATTGTGCCACCTGTATTGAGCTTTGCACTAGGAAGCTTGGGCTTCCTGACCAAATTCGACTTTGAAGAGTATCAGCAAACCCTTACAACAGCCTTCACCAAGGGCGTGACAGTGAGTCTGAGACTGCGGTTCGAGGGCACTGTCATGAGGAGTCAACCACGTAAGAAAGCTCAACTCGACAAGGGTTCCGATGAGGATGATGATCCGCCGCGAGATCTGGTAGAAGAACTGATTGGTGAGGAGAGGGAGGACGAGCATACGCATCGACCGGATGGGACGTTTGAGATTCTGAATGAGGTGGTGGTGGATCGAGGCCCAAATCCAAGTAAGAATCCCACAGTCAACGTTGCCCCTGCAGGAGATGTTCTAACGTATATTCTAGCTCTGTCAACTACCGAGATCTTTGGAGATGACGAACACTTTACTTCGGTCTTGGCCGATGGTATCTGTGTGTCAACACCAACTGGCTCAACGGCATACAACTTGGCTGCTGGGGGATCTCTGTGCCACCCAGAAAACCCCGTGATGCTGGTCACATCCATCTGCGCGCACACGCTATCGTTCAGGCCGATTATTCTACCCGACACGATCGTGCTGCGAGTTGGTGTTCCATACGGCGCGAGGACATCTTCGTGGGCGAGCTTCGACGGCAGAGAGCGCGTGGAGCTGAAGCCAGGAGACTACGTGACCATCAGCGCGAGTAGATTCCCGTTTGCTTCTGTGCAGGCTGAGGGACGGAGAAGCGAGGATTGGGTCAATAGCATTAGCGGGAAACTCGGATGGAATACGCGACAGAAGCAAAAGAGCTATAAAGAGTGGGAGAAATAAGACGGTATATTACAACGAGAGAAATGAATCATGGGACAAATATTCGTACTTGGTAACAGATAAGATGGCTGGCGTTTTGGTAGAGATTACTTGCAGATAGTGTTGGCGTTTCTGCTTCAATATGTAAATGAAACGATGTCATAGTGCTCATGGAGTTTAATTGATCTTTTCCAGGGGTCTATAGTTGTCATGAGAAGAGGTGCTGTTTAAGTGGCTGTATGGTACTACTCTACTCCACTGTTGAAGATCGCGTTAATGAGCCCACCGACTTCAAGCACGGTTCGTATTTGGACACCGCTCTCTTTGACAACAGTTCAGTCGTCTCAGATAGCACGTCGATAGGCTTTAACTGAGCATTCAATCAATCAATTGAAACAAAGCAACACCAAAATCCATCGCAATGGCGACAGAAACCGCATCGTCTCTCCCACCCGACTTGTTCGACCAAACCACAATCATCTCTCTCCTATCGACTCTTGCCATCGTCTTCGTCGCATACGTCGCCTCCCTCAAGTTCCTTCCCTCTTCATCCTCTGGAACTCTCCGCTTCCTGTTCATCTGGCATCTCGCCGATGCGCTGTGCCATTTCCTCCTCGAGGGAAGTTTCTTGTACCACTGCTTCTTCTCACACCAGCCGCTCCTCGACGATGCGAAGACAGACCTGTTTCCCACACCCGAAGGGTTTCTAGGATACAACGATCGTGTGTACGGTGCACAGTCGGGTGGAGATAATCCCTTTGCTATGCTGTGGATGGTGTATGCGAAGGCGGATAAGAGATGGGCTGGCGTGGACTTGGCGGTCGTGAGCTTGGAGTTGTTGACTGTGTTTTTTGACGGCCCATTGGCTGTTTACGTTTGTTACTGTCTGGCGAAGAAGGACCCCAAGGTCAGCATCTGGATGATCATCCTGGCTACTTGCGAGTTGTACGGAGGTAAGTTATATCAATATCATACATGCACTGTGGAATTAGGTTATGCTAACAGAAACGAACTTAGGCTTTATGACTTTCTGCCCCGAGTGGCTTGTTGGAAGTCCTAACCTCGACACAAGCAACTTTATGTACCTCTGGCTCTACCTATTCTTCTTCAACACCCTCTGGGTTTGGATCCCCCTCTGGATCATTTGGTACTCAGTCAAGGATATCTCGAACGCTTTGACTGTGCGCCAAGGGAAGAAGAACTTGTAAAGCTTAGAAGTTGTAAATGAGGAGACCTTGGTGGCTGGCTGACATTTAAGGATGATTGCAGTTCAGTAAACTGTTTAACCCTCCGAAGCAAACCCATGCCCGATCAAGTCCATGTTTTAAATGGTTAGAAAACTAAAAGCAACTATGTTACAACAAGATCGATTAATTCTATTCCACGCGAGTCAATACTGACAGCGATTTGTCGCATCCTGGTTTGATTGATAGGAGCACGTGACAGTACGAGGCTAGGCTGGTGTGAGTCGACAACATCAAACTATCGCATACGTTCACATCAGAAAATGAAGAGACCAGATATTGTGTTTCATAGGTGTATTGAAGAGCTATTGGGGTATCTGATTGCTCATGAGTGGTACTGCAACTCTCCTGCTGGAGAAGCAGCCCAGTCCCTCCTCAAAGTCATTCCATGATTTCATTACTCATCCGATTATTGAGTTATCGTAGCACGAGAGAACTTAAGGGTTCTGCTTGTAAGTCTCAGACTTGGCGCCGTGGGTAGACTCGTCGATCTGCCGAAAGGTTAGCAATTATGTCTTTTGAATCAAGCCATCAAGCTTCAAGTCTCCCAAGCCTTTCTAGGACTCAAGAGATCTCGTGAAAGCCCGATTTCTAGGGATAAAAAAAGACGAACCTTGTCGGATGCGGCATCCTTAGCAGCGGAGGCGCGAGTGCCAATGCCAGCGTTGGAGTCCTTGGCGACCTCCTTGTTGGCCTCCTTGCTGGTACCGGAGAGACCCTCCTGGACCTTCTCTATGGTGGGTGTTAGTATATGTTGAGGATGATCATTCCGGGTCGTAGAAAAGCTTCTTACCGGTGGCCTGGTTGACGGTGTTCTTGATGGAGTCCATGATTTCGGATTTGGAAAAAGTGTTTGTGTTGTAGATAGTTGTGTTGAGTTGAAGTTGAGTGTGATGATGAGAGAAGGGAAAGTCGGATTTGGAGAGAGGGGAGGAGGGTTTATATAGAGCATATGGCGATATCGATTGACTGTCTGGACAAACAGGAAAGTTGCCTGTCATCAAGGTTGTTCTATCCTGATTTGGTGTGTTTACTGGGCCTGCCTGCCCCTTTGGCATATCCGTACATGTCAGAGCCTCTGCCTACTAGGTAGGTACCTACCTAGCTACGGACGAGTACAGAATTGCTATCATGTGAAGAAAAGATATGTCGTCATAGACTGTTTATTACAGACAAGTCCTACATTGCTCTACGGATATGGATTGTACCCCAGTATACGCGGGCTCAGTCAACCACTTGGAAGCGAGACAGCAAGCAAAGGGCCTGCCTGTGATGGTTGCTCGAGACACATGCCTGACGTCAATTCAACGATCACTTGGACGTCATCTCGATGAGAGCTCCGAGACTTGTTTGTTTGGTGGGGTCATTGAGTATCAGGAGTACTGTCAAGCATGTAGGTAAGAACGCGCCTTCCGCGTCGCGGGGTTACTGTACTGTTACTGTACCTGATTCGGAAGCTCATCAACTGCCCCGCTACACAAAGGAAAGTACGTACAGTAATGTACATACGTAAGATCTAATGACACATGATCGACTTCGGTCCCTTGCAGCTTTAGAATATCTTTTCTCCTTTGTGTAAGTAGAATTGACGTGAGAGAAGCTTGAATATGACATCCATGGCATGACATTAGGAGCCTTGAAATTTCCTAATTTGGAATGAACCCACTTGTGGCGGGCAGCGTGCAGTGTGCAGCGGGTGAAACTATGGGTCGGATCCAGCCTCAGGCAGATCCGTTGCTTTCCCGTACAGGGCAGAGCATCAACAGCGCCACATAGCGGGGTCGAATTGCCTGTGGCGGTGACGTGGTGAAACTTGGATGACCTCAGTCTTTAATCATTCCTTCCTTTCTTCCTTGTCCTCCCCCAACCAAAGCCAAAACTAAGCCGGTCTTTCTCTTCTTTTGCTTGTGACTCTTACTATGTACTCTCTCCTTCCGCGGGTAAATACTGTAAGACGCCTGCATTACTGCTTTATGCACTTCTTTCTTCATAACAAAATGCATTGATTGGTTTCCCCCACAGTTTAGTATGCTTGCCATCGAGATCTCTCCCCTCGTGGTCCATACAGACGGAGCAACCTCTCCGTGCATCCTGATTTCTTGATTTTCGCTGCCACCACCGCCTCTTTGTGGATGTTCTTAATATCACTCTAGCCACTCAACGTTGTAGCAGAGTGGCTTGCTCTTGTCAGCTTCCCAGCTTGTACATACAGCTTCAAGAGCTTGTCGAAACGGGACCCGCTCAAGCTATCATTATGACGTTGCTAGTCAAATAGCTTATCTCTTGTTCTGAAGCTTGTTCTTTCTTTTGTTGGTTTCAAAAGGTTAATCATGGTACAGTAATGGCATGATGGCAAAAAAAAAAAAGCCATTTGCCCACATGCCAGAAGCCACTTTTCCCATGATTGTCATTCATGTCCATGATGCCAAGTCGAGTTACGTTGCCAATCTGTCTCACTTTACTAAGTTTACTTGCAGATCAGATCGGTCTAGGCTTTCAAATACTACGTACATTCCATTCTAACTCAACCCGAGGCTGACTGGAACTGGTACAGTAGGCTAGCTACAGTAGCTTGCTTGCGCACTCTTTGCAAACAATACTACAGAGTGTCGACACGACATAACCCGTCTTTATCCCCGCCGGAATGCGTCCGTAGCTCCCGCTGTGCCATCGGGAACTCTGTGAGCTTTAGTTTGTTGAGTAAAGCTTGCAGCAGCCTAGAGCCTGGAGCTTAGTCCGTCTCGATCGATTGCACTCGACATGCTTTCCCGTACCTTTGTATCCATGTGCCAATCCGTCTACGTGTTCAATGATTGACCATCGGCAATCGGAGGAAGCGAGTACGATCTTCGGAGCACATGCAAATCGTGTCATCGTTGCAGTACAGTAGTAGTTAACTTGCGTCTCTTAGTTGGAAAGCAATGTTACGATACCTGATAAGGCATCATGATAACGATTTGAGCATAGCTTGCCATGTATCTCAACCAAGCACGAATAAGGCATCAATTTGGCGAATCAACAACTTACACCTTGGCAAAACACATGCAGGAACCTTTGTTTTTCAATAGATGAGAACTGGGCAGCTCATGTCAATGGGACAGAGATTACTCCTGTTTCGCCCACTCGGCCTACCGATACGTTTTGATCTTTACGCATGATGTTGTGGAAACCGGCTAAAAAGGCATTTTCTGATGTTAGATTGGGATTGATAAATCTAGACTTTGTCAAGCTGAAGATGCTCAAACGTGGATAGCCAAGCCAACTGTCTAGGCATGCATATGCCTAGACCATCAAGGAATGATAGAGCTATTCCGGACATTCCATATGGAATAGGAATTGCGGAAGAGTTAATCTAGTGATCGAATCTCTACAGCTCAGCGTAACAAAACCCAAAAACACCAAGCTTGACTATCGGCGTTTACTACCCTTGAAACATGTCACTGAAACTTATATAAGCGATGTTGCCGAAGAAACAATTCATGGTCTGATCAACGGAAAATTTGTTATCTTGAAACACGTACCGTAGATGCCTTCATTTCCTTTACCGTCTTCATATAGGAGCTTCAGAAAATATAGCATAATGTTACGTCGGCCCAAGAATCTCGAATGGGCAGGTGGAGCCTCTTTTGTATCAGGGATGAAGTATCCTATCGAGGGTTCGGCCTCATCGTGACATTTGTATCTTGTGATCCTGTCTCGGACTCGACGGCGATGAGAGATCCGTAACACGTACACCAATACAATGTGTGCCCTAGGTCTATGCTTGAATCAGGTTTCGACAGTTACAAGACATAGCATTTGTCATGAGACTCGATGAGTGAGGTTCTGTGTAACCAGTTATATCATGCCACCAAAGGCTCCAAGACCACGTTGTAGCAGTCTTTATATTTCATTGTACGAACTTATTTGGATTGTGCTATCTCGCTAGCTAGGCACAAGTAACGCAACACTCGTCACGGCGAAACTATTCACTCCCCTCCCACGATTTGCACATGAACTGCGAAATAATACAAGCACTGCATTCATTCTATAAGTAGCTGCTGACCTTGTAGCGTTCCCTTGACTTCCTTCAATTCAAAGCTTCCAATCGTAGAAGTATTAGTGCTGTTATGATGACTCACACTGTCACTCTAATATTGAAGTTTCTGGTAATCATTATATCTGGCTTCGATAGTCAAGGTCTTTAAGATAGAATTCGCCCGGATCTATAAGACAGACGTAACAAAACTGAAGTCATTTGATAAGAGAATAGGGGAATTAAGCTGCAAAGACTATGCTACACTTTAACTCGTCTATAACACTCCAGCATCTCACCTCGATTTACTTCCGCACCTCAACTTAAACCACGTAGCTCAGTTGGAGTCGTTCGAAGTCTTATTTCCTAATGATCTTGTGTGTCGCTACCTGCTTATATATTCTTTAGTCAAGACCTCCACCATGGAAGACCGAAAGAGCTATGACACCGTTCTTCGTCCTGATCATGGACCGTAGGAATGTCTTCTCTTGTATAATCAACGTCACCATGGACTTTATAAGATTTCTTGGAGCCCTTGAATTCTGGCTCTTACACGGGGAAGCGTCTGTCGAAGAACCCTCCTCTGTCAGGGCCATGTTCTAATAGTGTTGATCTGGGATTCATCGAGGACAACAAGCACGTGCAACCAGCTCCGCTGACAGACAGATGAACTCGTGGCTTGAACCTCACCAGTACATCTACTACTCTTCGCCCAAATCGGGGCAGCTTTCGAAGCTATTACAAACCTGCCATTGGTAGTCGCTACTTTAGGGTACCTATTGGAAAGCCTGACCGTCAAGAGCAAAAGACAAAATGATTCAGCCACTTTCGGCTGAGTGGGATACATCTTATCAGAGGATAGAATCGCCAATACCTTAGAATTAATGGGGTATGCATCTCCTACAGCTCGGACTTATCCGGTTATATGATAAGGTTTGAACGGACGCCATCGTGAAATAGCAGGGACTATATCATAGTTTTTGTGGAATTAAGAACTTATAGATGTAAGGCTAGAACCGAAGTTCTTTTGTCCCGGATAACTTATAGTTAACTGACATGAAGAGATCACTGCTCTAAAGGATATACAAAAGGCAACGCTGCAGGAGGGTTTTCAGCGGTTTCGATGTTATTGACCTGTGCAGAATTACTAAGTGATTTTGACTTCCTAATACATATCGTCATTCGATGCTACGAAACTGCACGTTTCGCTGCCTTCCCCTACTAGGGATTGGGTGCACCTATGCTCGCTTGGACGACTGTCTGTCATCGTCAGCTTTTTTGCTTTTTGTTACTGATCTTAGAAGTGATTACTGCTGGATACAGTCAATTAACTATGCCTGTCCCAACACTGTATCACGTTTTCCTTCTTCCCTCCGATGTCAGGGAAAGGGGTACTTTTTGTTCCAGAATGCTGACGTACTCAGATTTGACAAACCCAATACGGGGTAGGCTCTCGCAATGAGTGTCGAAGATACAGTGGTATAGGCTTTTTCGAAACTGAATTCGAACTGAATTTCCATCATCGAGTCATAGAAATGGTAGATATCCATGTCGCTACCTCTCTGCCGAGCCTTGCTGCAACTATTGTCATTTACACAATTGACATTCATTGTGTCACGAATACTGCAGGTTCCATACACTGGGCTATACCTAGGGCAGTACATCGTAGGAAATATCCTGGGTGTTAACTGTCAAGATCGTTTAGAGCACGCAGCTAGACTGACCAAGTTACCCTGACGCCGAAACCGGTCACGACAACCAAGTTCAAAGGCGAGATCATGAGCAAAGCCGACGAGGTCCTGGTCCTAGGGACAAGGGTCTCATGAGTCTTGACTGCGGATTGTTTCTTCGGACTGTTTCGACCTTGACCTATCAACGTGTCAACTGCCTAGACACTTGTGGAGATGCATATGGTGGTTTGAGAGAGACAAGGGCGATTAAGAGGATTGACTTGACTCAGTGTTGAAGTTCTCTTCGTATCATAGTCCTAGCAAAGGGGGTTCTGTCTTGTGATTGTCTTCTGGTCGTCTGTGTTAGTTCTCTCAAGCCAATGATTATGGAAATATACGGCCTTTGCACAGACATGAGAAGAGGAAATATCGCTTTCGACATCATAGCGGTACTTACACGTGCAAGAGAGAGTGGCATGCATGCCGGTCTGTGTCTCGCCTAAATCTCTTGCTTCAGTCTGTGTGTCAGCAACACCAAGGTTTCAATAGCCATGAAACGATCCCGTTAGCTAGCCGATGGCTGCCGTTACCCTGCCATGCGATGCCATATGGCAAAGTTCCACAAACTGTATATTTCCAAAGCCGTACTCTATCTCAAGTCCGGGGAAAGTAGGGGTCGAATAGACAGTATCAATCTGGAAGCTCTACGGTATCAATTTCACCCAAGTATCCGTACTCGAGGGCGAGCTACTCCCAGACGTCAATGTCAAGACTCTTGACATGTCACTTAGAACTGCATCAAGTACATGAGGTAATTCAGAGACATCACAAGATGGTCTGAGTGAGTCGCCAATCTCACTGCATCTCAAGTTTCGCATGCTCTCAGACTACCTGTGCTATGACTCGAGAAATAACTCACATCTCGTTTTTTTTGAAGATACATTGGCACTTTTGTTGCAGTGCTAATATTGATAGATGTCAATGATCAGCAGCTCGTGTAGAGCTCTCGGACCTATCATGGCTCAGGCCTCTGGGCTAAGGCTGTTGGTCGTGGGTCTGTGCTATCAACATGAGGAGGTCGTTTCTTGGCTAGAGCTGCAAGTGCCGGCATGAACTCGTGGAGAAAGAAGTCAGAGATGTGCTGCAAATCTACGGAGTAAAGATCCTCTCAAAGGCTAAAGATTGGGCCTTGAAAATGGCCAGTATCTATCTGGTTTCTCCATCTGGCCATGTGCACGTTATTTCTGTGTTGTCCATACAAAGTTAATACAGCAAGATTGTTACTGAATTTCTTTTTTCCTAAAGACATTGACAAGTCAAACTAATAGAGGCAAATATTTGATAGAATACGTAATCAAGTCATTAGAAGAATAGAATTGATTCTGCCAAGAAGATCTTTCATCTTAACCCCATGCTTAGCCCTCAGTAACACACTCGTTATAAGCAACCATTACGGCTTATCGAGATGTATAGTCAGAATACGAGATTGCACATATATGTTTGGGATTATAGCAGTTGATAATACGGACTATTAAGGGTTTTCTTTTCTAATTTAATACCCGTGAACCCGTGTTTTACTTATAGGGTCCCTGCTCTTATTCGGGACGAAACTGATGCATCGTCTTTGGGAGAGCAAGTTTGAGGAGGAAACAGCTTCAGGTCAGGTTACCCTACGGTCGACGCTTTGCTTGGTACATGGGGAAGGGTTCCAACCTGAGAGTCTTGGACATGTGTAGACCGGAGTTGGTTCGGCCTGGTAGATATCTGGGCTCCGAGTTGCTTTGCTCGTCCGTTGCGCAAGAAACACTGAGTGATCTTTGCTTTACTGCTAGTCATTGTAGGATCAATGCAGAGTGGCCATGGCTCAACCTTGTTGAGCACTTGCTTTATTGACTTATTAGTCTATGGAGTTGAGGTAATTAGGTATATTGTATATTCCCACTACTCAAGTCAAGTTGACTGGGGATAATACGAATTATGGACCGAAAGTCGTCTTCTTCTGCAGTAGGATTCTGGTGTTCGTTCTAAAGCGAATGGATGAGCCATCCACTTGGAACTGCTTTATTCCCCGGGCCAGGTTCAGAATAGCGTTGTTTCAGTGGATGCTATTGCTGCTGCGGTGTTCTTACGAAGAGAAGCCGGTCAGTAGAGAAGACTACTGTACATACTGACTGTGCCAAGAGTTCGGCATTTGGACCTTGAACCTGGTGGCTTTGTGTGCTCGGTTAGAGAAGTTGGGGTTTCATTACTTTATAGTATGAGCGGAATGATGGATGGGTTGAAACAATGAGATGGAGAATGGAGCCAACCACCGGTTGACTAGAGGTAGGACTAGAGAGATAAAGGTTAGATTTCTGGAGTCTAGAAGCACCAAGCCTCTTACCTACCAGGTACAGTAGGTACTAAGGTATTCTCCTTCTCCCCAGTGTGCTGTACTGTAGTAGATAAACTAAGGTAGAAAGCTGACAGATTTGTGACCGGGTGCAAGCTCTGATCCTTGCGAAACGTCAATGTATCCATACCTCGTGGCCGGGCGCTCTCCCCGCCTTCGGCAGCAGGAGGATCCGTGTAACTTGCCATTGGAATCTCAAACCCTCTGGGCCAGATTAGGAAACAGCACTCTTGCCTTTCACCTGCCAGAGGGAACATCCCTGCCTCGTCGTGTTTGAAGTCTGCGGCGACTTGCACGGATTGGTCGGGCGCTAGAACCCATATGGACTTTGCCCCACTGTTTGCTTGACTTGCACTCCTGCCTCTTACAACACGACGAAACTTGACTCTGTCACAACATTGCTTCAGCCTCTTGGAGCCGGTGGTTTTTTTTTATCTGGAGGCGACTCTCGATTGTCTTACCAGTCTCTTTTCAGAAGCTCAATTGTGAATTGTCACCATGATCTATTCATGATTTCAGTTGTGGCGGTTCAAGACAAGTAACTGCCTTCTCAAGAAAGAATAGACTAGGCCGTGATGGCTTCACAGCGCAGCGCGGATCCAAATATTCAGCCAGCTCTTAGTCTCACCTTGGCAGGTTCCACAACCTGTTGCAGAATGTTCGTCAGTGTTATCGAGAATCATCATCCCGGTTATTCAATCTACACGGGTGAAACAATACCCTTCTCGCCCTAATGCGGGACATGGCTCTTAACCCACCCACGCTTCCTTTGGGCTTGGCCTCCATGCATCGACTACCATCTGTCAGGGGCGATAGCCTCAATACCACCAAACTCCGTCATGAAGTAGCTTCATCCTTGCTCTTTGGGCACCTTCTGAGGCGTGCAGGGGACGATGAGCTTAGCTTAACTCACGGATCTAGGGCAATCTGCCTCCCCGGCCTCGATGTGATTTGTCGTCCATTCGAGATGTCGAGGACTATATTGCCTCCGCAGCCTGCCTCTCCCTCCCACCTAGTCGGTGGTGTTTTGTCCTGATCTCCGTTTCCTTTCTTGTTCTTGGATTTGCCGTTCGTTTGCCACAGGCCAGGTGCCATTTCGTACATTTCACTTTCCTTCGGTGCTTCTTGTGTATTTGCTTCATCATCTATCCATCTGTCCATCCGATCCGATCTGATCTACTCTGCTTCAATTGATCTGGCACTTGCTTTAGAGGGTTATACTGTTCTGACTGCTATCATATCGTATCTGGCTGCTTCTCTTTCTCTTTTCCTCATCTCACTCTTTCTTCTTTCGACCTTGGGATCCCTTTCCGATCGATACTCTCAACCGACATCGACGACAATAGAAATGGGAAACTAAAGTCGACTCAAAAAAAACAACGCGGTGCCGGCACTGTGAAGGCTTCAAGCCTACCCTTAATATCAAAAAGACCTCTCGAATTGGTACAATAGAACAAAATGGACGACAACGCGAACATGGACACCACAGGCTTTCAGTTCCAGGCAAACTCAACATCGAAATGGGATAACGAACTCAAGTTTGCTGCCGCCGGTTCCGTCCGTACTTCGATCATCGTTCTGGCTGTTTTCAACTTGGTCGTGGCATTTACCGTCGCTCTCGTCATACTCTTGAGATCATGGAGGGCATTGAAGAGAAGTGAATCATGGGATTTCAAGTAAGTGCTCCTTTGCCAAATCTTGAGGCACATTCTCACATCTACTTTTCAGATCATCTTGGTTCCGCATCGTCAGGGGACGAGATGTCTACCCTTTTGCACTCTCTTTGGGCATCGTAGCTCAAGGAATTGTCTATGCAACTGCTCAAGCAAAGGGACTCGAGTCACTCATGATCCTCGACTGTGCCATGATCTCGCAAATGATGCTACCAGGTGAGTTGAACGTTTGACCTCATCTACTTCGGCTCTACTAACGCTTGCAGCATTCTTCATTGCTCCCTTCATTCAGCTGATCTTTGGACTGGAATTGACCCTCCGCGTTACAAAGCCGAGTGTATTCCCCTTTCGGGGGCGATTTAATACTCCGGCCTGTCTCATATTCACCGTTATTCTTTTGCTCGTAGTATTCTCCATCACATTTGCCGTTCGCCCATCGGAATTTTGCTTTGCCGGCCTAGTCTCTTTCCTTCATCGATACGACACCGGCATCTTCGGAACTTTGCTTACCATTATCGTCCTCGTCTTGGTCGAGTGCGGCATCATCTGCTTCAAACTTCATACTGGAGCTAGGATGGTTATTGCTGAGAGAGATGAGGCATCTCGCATGGTCTACCACATGGTTGTTGCCGTGATCTCATACGTAAGTACGCCAGCTTCCAAGAAGAAGCACCAACTAATTGCAAGCAGACTCTACAAATCACATTTTATTTCAACACAGCGTTCTACGATATAGGAGCAGCAGGCGAGACCTCAATGCAGCTATCTATCATTGGAACTGTTGTAATGAACATGTCCGGACTTTTGCTTGGCTGCCTGTACCTTTTCCTTCGATCGAGCAGAGCCCCGACTGGATACTCAGATGACGATATTGAGGCGACTCAGGGATTCAAGAAATGGGGTGATGACCAAGAACCCACAACTCCCATAACCCCGATGCAATCACAGTCTATCAATATGCCCTCACTAGCCCGCAAGGCTAGCGGTAAGGAAGAATTGATGATGGACGACAGAGTGGAAGACAAAGTGTTTGGTGCACGCAAGGATTTTCTCAAGGCTGGCTTGAAGCCCCTACGCCTGGGAAGCATGCGCAACTCTGGCGATCTGCCCGCAGCCCCAAAACCTGTACGAACCTCGTCAAAGGAGTCGATCAAGAACTTCAAGCGAAGCATGTACAGCATCTTCCCCAAACCTGAAGCACCCAAGTCACCCATCCTATTACCAACAACAACCTACAAAGGTCCCGCGACCGACAAGAATTCCACAACCAAAGCGGCGCCTGCACCTCCATCTCTGGCCGACCTTCTTGCGCCGCCAGCTCTTCGTTTGCCCGACAGAAAACTCCGATCTAGTGGCGCTTCAGCTCTCTCTACTGCAACAGTACAGATCGGCCTGCGACTTTCCAACATTGGTGATATGAGCACCTCCAAACCTGAGCCCAAACCTGACGCAAACCGCGTGGAAGAACTTGACTGCCCCAACAGTACAGTGAGGTTCTTTCCAAGGAAAACAAGCCCACTCGCCATCGCTATTGTCGACGTTCCGGGTGAAGGCGCCAGGTACCAGATTCAAGATAATTTCGAAAACAATCTCTCTGAGAAGGAACTCCCGCCCGTTCCTCTGAGTGCAGGCATGGTCACTCCTCCAGAGACAACTCTTAGCTCAGCTGTGTATAGCCCACAAGAGTCAACGCCTAGCCCGTCCTCGCACAAACCCAAGACGGGATCCATCAGCTCCAGGGCTCATAGCCGACACGACTCAAATGTGGGAGACTTAAGCAGGTTACATAGCCGTCATGGCTCAAGGACCATACCAGAATCAAGCAGAATACATAGCCGGCAGGGCTCAAGGGCTGATCCGGATGCGGGAAAGGGGCCTTGGATTTGAAAAGTTATGGAAAAAAAAAGATGGGTAGGGCCCTCAACGGGCAAAGATGATGATCTCTCATGAATGGTTTGACACCTTAACGATTCCCTTTGTACTCCAAAGTTTTGGACTTCTCTTTGATGCTAGCGTCGAGATTTATTATATATAGATAATTTAGAAGGTGGGGCGGACATTTTAACAGTCTAATTGAATGTGATGCCAGCATTGTGTAGATGTTGACGGTATATGGTACTAGTACAGCTAATAACCAGAACCCGTCAACTCGACGGGCAAACACCTCCGTGGTTCATTTCCTATCGGTTTTTGTTAGTTTGAGAAGTAACCCTTCTCTCCTCCCACTTTTCCCAGCCAGCCTGACACATGTCCTCTTCCACTACCAAATCACGAACTCTGAATGCCCTTGCCAATGAAGTCTCCAAAGCCCAGCCCAACCAGCCCGTCTGTCGCATGACAGCAACGATAATAAACCACCCAACTGCACTCACAGCACCAGCAGCGCAGCCTACAACAACCTGCTTAGGGGTGTGGTAGTTGAGATATACTCGACTCCATGCCGTCGCGGCTGCAATCGCCGCCCCAGCCATGCTCACCGCAATTCTCTCAACAATACTCCAAGGTCGATGCACACTGCTGTTTGCGCGGCCCTTGAGCACACGCGGAGGATTATGGCGGACAAGCAGGAACAGCGCAAGGGAAACACTCCAAAAAGCGACAAATTGTGCGTGGGAGCTAGGCATGCCGTAACCTTTACCATGTATGCGACGAGGACGTTCTTCCTTGATAAGACGTTTTAGAGCGAAGTTCAGAACTTCACAGGCGAGCTGACCCAGGAACATAAGGGCGACTTCGACCTCGCGGGTGAAGAGTACTAGGGTAGCGTAGACGACACATAGAGCTTGGGGGAGGAGAGCGAGATAGGCGCATGCGAGCGATAGATGGTCTTCGGGGTCCTGCAGTATATGAGTTAGAAAGGTTCCTGACCAAGACACATAGTGAAGGTTACATAGTAGACATGGGTGACTGAGAGGGAAGCGAGGGGGGTAGAATCGTCGGCCATGATGGGCGATACAAGGGTTTCTGGGAGAATTCAAGGTATGGAGAAAGACTGCATTATCTAGCAGCTTAAAGTGATGTCTCTGACTGATCCAGTTTCCGCGACCGAACAAAGGAAATAAAGAAGTTTTGGAAGAAAATCCACCTCAAGAATGACCAGAAAAGATGAAAAGATCAAAGTCAAGTTTAAGCTCGATTCATTTCTTGGTGTTGATGACGATGCTGCCAGTTAGATGTGGCGGTGCTTGTGGCTGATGCCCGAGAAAGACCAAGTGGCGTCTCGGACTTCCGCGCATCTCATTTGTCGATAGAGGTACCTAGTCACCAATTCCACGACGCCGAGAAGAGTCATCATCGTCAACTTTTTTTTGGCTCTTTCTATTATTATTTTCTTCGGTGTGAATAAGAAGAACAGTCGACTTTCTTTTTCTCTATATTAGTAGACGATAGAAACCTCCTCTCTCGGTGCTCATTTGTAATCGCTCATTTGTTCTTGTTCCGGAATAACCCTACCTTGTATGGAAGTCTTTGGGTACCATCTTCAAAAGCCCTCGCCCCTCTTTGCATAAAGCTCCTCCACCAAAAGAAGCACCTCATGTTGGAGTCTTGTTAAAAGGAAGAAGATAGAGAGCGCGATACGGCCACGACGATGGAGGCCTAGCAACAACTCATGACTAAGGGCTGGTTTCTTCTCAAGAGTCCTTGATATTGAACATAACTTACTTACTCAGCTTTGCCACTTCCCAAAGGCATTCGCTCAAGTGCATTTTCTATTTTACGCCACCAGAGGATGAGCGCTCGTATCGTTAACAATACGAATATCCATAGCAGATATGGACGAAAGCGATGATCCTCGTTACATGGAGCTTGGCTCCCTTGAAGCTATCTTTCCTGAGATCCGTCGTCCTGACTCAAAAGACCCTTTCGCATTTGAGATAGATCTCCCTGTTGAGCCTGCTGCTCCGGTGACTGTTACCTTTCCAGCACCATCTGCACCAGCCCATCCTGGACTCACGACGCCCATCCAAGCTGTTGAGAATGCTCAGCCGGAAGTGGACTCACTCGAAGTCTCATACCTTCCGTCTCTACGGTTGAAAATTCGCCTGCCCGAGGGTTACCCTGTAGACGTACCACCAGAGATCAAGATATCGACAACGCCACAGTGGTTAACAGAGGAAACGATCAAGAGACTTGAGGACGACGGGCCGCGGTTATGGGATGAGATCGGTCGTGATATGGTTGCATTCACATATATCGACCATATTCAACACGCCGCTGAGGATGTCTTTGGAACTATTAACCCAGAGGGGACCCTTCAGGTCGATTCTGAACATAAACTCGCTGTGCTGGATCACGATAGCAAAGCCAAAAAGGCAGCCTTTGAAAAAGAGACCTTTGATTGTGGTGTCTGCCTAGGTATGAGCTTTACAACCCACCCCTGAACCCCAATTAACATGATCAGATCCCAAGAAGGGCACCAAATGTCATAAAATGCTCGACTGTGGTCATATATTCTGCATTCAGTGCTTACAGGACTTTTACAACGACGCTATAAACGAGGGCAACTTATCTACCGTTCGGTGTTTAAGTCCCAACTGCGCCAAGGAACGAGCAACGGCTAGAGAAATCAAAAGGAGCAAAGTTGCTGTCAGCCCTAGTGAGCTTCTCCAGATTGGTCTCTCTGAGGACATGGTTAAACGCTACGTCACTCTCAAGTATAAGACAGAGTTGGAGTCTGATAAGAACACAATATACTGCCCACGGCAGTGGTGCAACGGTGCAGCCCGGTCTAAACGTCACAAGAAACCAGAAGGTCTGGATTTTGCTGAGACGTCTGATGCCGAATCAGATAAAGAGGAGCAGGAAAGGGGAAATGGCGAAGCCGAGACGACGACCAAGAAGAAAAAGAACAACAAGGACAAGTTCAACAAAGCCGACCTCCTGGCCATCTGTGAGGACTGCGGCTTTGCTTTCTGCGGCCAATGCTACCAGTCATGGCACGGAGAGTTTGTTCGCTGCGCACCGCGGCGTGACAAGGGGGAACTCAGTGAGGAAGAAAAGGCCTCGCTTGAGTATCTCCAGCTTCACACGAGTCCATGTCCAACATGCAACGCCCCTGCACAAAAGACACACGGCTGCAACCATATGATTTGCTCACGATGTGACACGCACTTCTGCTACTTATGCTCCTCATGGCTCGACCCAGTAAACCCTTACCAGCACTATAACCAGCTGGCTGGCGGGAAAGTTACTTCTTGTTATATGCGGCTATGGGAGCTTGAAGGGGGTGATGGTGACGATGTCGGCTTGGGGTTCATTGGCGGTCATGGCCCGGGAGCGAATCCTCCCCCGGCACTAAATGATATTGAGCTTCTGCCAGAAGTCATCGAGTCTGATAGCGATGGCGAGGAGGAGAACGGGGAGGTCCTCGGCGCCCGTGATAACGATAGACAGCTAGGCGGCCAAGGCCAAGGTCAAGGCCAGGGCATAGAGATAGCCCGTGAGGGACCCCTCGTGATCCGGCTTGTCGACAACCAAGCTCGAGACGGCCGAAGAGCCATTCCCCCAGCTGCCCCCGATGCGCCGCAACAGCCAGCGGGTCGCGGGCATCACGGTCCTCCACGAGGCGCAGCGGCTCGGGGACGCGGCGCAAGAGGGGCTGGGAGAGGAGGAGCGGCAGTCAGAGGCAGAGGAGGAGGGCAGCCTCGTGGTGGAGGAGCTGTTAACCGTCAGCGAGCAAACCAGCGACAACCACAGCGGGCTCAGGGTCAGGGTCAGGGCCAGGATGAGAATAACCAAGCTGGTCTTGATGCGGCACAGGAAGCGTGGGTTCGTCGGTTCGTACAAATGGCTCTCAACGACGAGGAAGACCTTGTTGAAGGTGACTCAGACGAGGAAGACGGTAATTGGATTATTCGATGACAGCGACAAAGAATCACCTCACGATCATGAGTCGGCATTGTGCGGCTCCGCAACAAATACAAAGGTTGTTTCATTATAGATAGTACGTAGCGAACGCATGCACGATGTACTGTATGAACCAAGAATTCCGGATGATGTCAACCGCCTACCACGATGATAATCTGCTTACCTGTGCTGTCACGAGAACCAAGTCCACTTTGCCACGATCATGGTAGTTACTGTAGTTGCCTGAATCAGGCATGTTGGTGCTGAACCTGTATTGTGCCCTCCCTCAGGACTCAACGTTTCTACAGTCCAGGTGTCAAGGAGGCTTCGGTATCAAAACCTGGACTCCGCAACGGTAATTGCTACCCGTTAGAAAAGCCGTTGCCCGTTGGAAAGACGAGTGAGGTTACATGCTTTAATTTGTGGCTAAAGCACTTAACGATCTGCTGTACTCTACGTGACCGTGTCTCTAGTACTTCTAATTACATAGAAGAGCTCATTTGGGCTTGTGGGAAATGCTCCGATTGTCAAAAGAGGACCATGATACTTCTTCGTCAAATACCGAATGTAGGCGTACGCTCCTCCACCTCTATGGGGATCGAGAGGTAACGTTGAGTAGACCGCCAGTCGGGATTATCACTCGGCAGACGACCCTGATCCTAGACAGCTTGAGTGGCCCAGGAATCAGCATCCCCAGTAGTCTACAGTACATACTGGTTTCCAAGTCCATACTACGTACTTTTTGTTGGACGGCACATGCTGACCAATGTATGACTTTACTCATACCGTATTCTCTTATGCTGGCTGGCCGATCGACACTGTAACCCTTGAAGATACGGGCCCTCGTGCAGTTATCCTAGACTCAAGGCCGACCATGTATGTACAGTAGGCCTTGGTATTGCCAGGTCTGTTCAATGAATGATGAGAAAATGAAGCCAAGGTTAACGCGGTCAGCCCGGACTGCAAAGAAAGCAAAGAGGTGAACTAGACCTGCACTCTTCTGGATCCCAGAGGTCAGAGCACAAACCTAAACAGTGTCTGGAAACTAGACATTGGATCGGGTTGAAGGTACCGTGTTCGGCCATGATAACCTATTGGCTTGGTGCCAAATAGAACGACACCCTCCTACACGGGCACTGTTCCGATGGACAGAAGGTCCTCAGCCTAACGCGAGGGCAAGGCACAAGTGTCTTTCACGTGGTGTTGCACTGAATCACATTGCGATTGATAGACAAAGATGGGTGCAGGGATACATGTACGAGTATCAGATTGGCATTAGTGGTTGATACTTGGAGGAAAGCCGCCGGAAGCCCTGCCAACGACATCGTTTGAATCGAGTATCTTGGACCAGATGCCGTTCACATCGCCGCTCATGGCGCTTGGTTGTTGCTCACTACGTCGAAACTTTACGGCTCGCAGGGATACAAATACTGCAACTTGCAGGTCTGCTCATAACTATCGCGTCGCCTCGCATTGCATGAGCACGCGCACGCTCCCGACTATGCATCCACACGGGCACTATTGTATCTCAATAACCAAGACTGAGATGAGATTGAATACCATTGGTGACTTGGTCTGGGCCGACAGTTGCATAACGCGGGCGCTACTGTTAAGGTTGCTTCGGACGGGTAGTTCGGTTCCGGACAAGTAAACCGTATCAAGAAGGGCATATGATGTTTCATATCTGCTGGTTTTGCTTAGGAAATAACTACTAAGCAACCACTAGAAATTGCAATATCCAGCAATCTCGCTCCTAGGTTCTGGTTCTGGGGAAGAGCTGATCCTCATCTAGTCTCTGGGGGATAGCATTCGTTCTTTGGTGGGCAAATGGGACAGACAGGCGGGCTGGCTTGGTACGTATCTCTGCATACCCTTGTTCTTGTTGTAGGGTCGGACCCTTCAAGACGTGCACGGCTGCTGCTCTGTCCTTGTCACAACGCAATTAAACGTTCTGTGTGGGCGCTCTCACCCACGCCCTTAGTTTCTCGCCCAGCTGGACGCCTGTTGCTGCAGTGGACCGGCGTATGCTCACTGAAGTCAGCTCATGTCATGTCCTTGTCTTGAGCTGTCTGCCGGGGAATTTCTTAGGCTTACTGAAGATGTCGCGTTGATCATCCACTGCGCAATGCTCCAATGCTACCGGATCTTGAACGACAGGAGCCGCAAGTGCACCGCGAAACAGATGTGCCTTGACCTAAGAACGGTAGGGCTGAGTTCACGATACCACGTCAACGTGCCGAGTAGAATGGTCGATGCAGGTACGGATACGGTATACTACTAACCAAGGAATGGATTCCCTTCAAAGTACTGTACGTAGGTAGGTATTTTCGTATTTGGACATATCGCGCTGGAAATGACGAGGAATTTTGTGGCACAAACGTTCGGCAAGTTTGTGGGCCAAGTTCAGCGGCAAGGATCCCTTTCCATTTGGAAAGCAGCTTCGCAAGATTCGCCTGGGAAATGAAGATGAACTAGCGTGCGTTTGTATCCTCTGTATATGTGCAGTAGAAGCAACGTTCTGATCCAAGCGTCTGGTCTAAATGGCCTGATGTCGATAAGGCCCGGATGTACTCGCCCCACGAAAGGACCGCGTAGATAGAAATTGTATTGTGCAACTCGCAGGTATTACTTGAGAAGTCCGATGGGCGAGTACGTATCCGTAGACAGTTAGAATCGTATTGTAGACTGGGTTGTTCAAGGATCTTGAGCTCTGGGGCCTAGGCTTGCAAGGCTCGTTGGCTCAACAGAAGTGACGATCGGTGGCTGGGGTGAGGACCAACCTTACCTACTAATCTATGCACATAATGTTTCGTTTCATTGCCTGAGTGTTTCTTGTTCCTTCAGATATCTGGACCCTGGTTTGTTGCATGAAAAGTCAAGTCTCTGCCGTGAGATTGGCAAGCCTTGTAAGTTTATGCTAGGTTAGTTGGTGCCCTGAGAGCAAACAAGCCTGTTCGCAACCAAATCACAATACATTCTGCCAATGCGACAATACTATTCATTCGGTCGACGTTCGGAAATGACAATTCGCAACTTGAATGAGAGTCGGTCCCAGTTCAGGGATTCGCAAGGAATGTGTGCTACTAACTGGGGAAGGGAACAAGGCTGAACTCTGCACAAGAGTTAATAGAAACTCATCTCGCCGACTTTCATCAACTTCATGCGCATTGACTCGTAAACTTGGGTCGATTAAGGGGAGCGATACTCCATCGGTCGATGTGCATCGATTACATGGTTCCGAGATGAATCGCTTTCCGCATTCAACCAAACGTGATCAAGAGCCGGTTTTCGATCGGCGTTTGTATGTATGTACAATTCAACAACGCAACCAGGCCAGGTCAAGGAATATTGAGCCATTGCCCAAAGTAAGTCAAGTGCCTCCCAGTCAGGGTCGCTGCAGGACGATCAGTATCCCAAAAGGGACTACCGGCCGGAGAAGCAGGGCCCTAATCAGCCCAAGCCACGCCAATTGCTTCATTGACCCTAAACCCGGAGAGATGTGGAACTTCGTCTTTGAGACAGCAGGGAGCGGGACCCATCGGTAGCCATCGCGGACAACGCTAAAACCGAATGCCAGCAGGGGAAGCCAATCGACTCAGCTCTCTGAGCTCATGGCGCTGTGGGTGTTCAACTGCCGCGATCTGCTGGCGCGTTGCAACGTGTGAGGTTACGATGCGTTTGAGGAACCTGTCAATGTCATCGGTGTCCGTCCATCCCGTCCCACCGAACTAACGGCCACGTTGATGAAACATTCTGATACTGCTTCTTCTGCTTCTCTTGAGGGATATCTAGGGGGACCATGACATGTTGAGAAGCACTCGACTTCATCGTAGTGACACATGCTGTGGGCGGGTACCCAAACGATGATTCTGGCGTTTGCGCATGGAGGTAGTCAATGTAAATGCAGTATTGTACTGCATCTTGACGCATGCACCTGCAGCGCCGTTTTAGCGACCCTGCCAAGTGGCCAATCAAGCGATTGATAGATTGCCCGACGGTTCAAATTGTGCTAGAGCATGCTGATAGTATCTTAATACCCGCCTGTTAAGATCATGGATGTGCGAAACATAATTTCGGGCAGAGTCTACTCCACATTGCCAGAATAGTCTCCCAATTCGTAGTATCGGCCCCTTTGTTCGAACATCCTGCATATTGCCTTACATTTCGCGTACTGGTTATCATTTGCCATGGCTTGATTATCGAAATTGCTTGGATCTGGAAATACGGATACACCGAGTTGAAGCTCAATCAAAGCATGCTTGTTATTCCAAGTAATAGTATTGTGACCGTGGGCAGTGGTTTGGTAACAAACACTTCCTCTTTCGGCAGGTTTTTGTTGTAGATTGCGACATCAGGAATGACCCTCACACCTGGCAGGTAAACAATCTAGTTCAAGACTCCTATTCGATCTTCCTCGCAAGCCAACAGACACAATGGGCTGCCAGATCTCAAAAATCGCCGTGGCCATCTGGGATGGTTACATCGACTGATTGGCGGCGGGACAGGGTACTTGGAGACGAGGAGCTACCGTTGAGATGGCGTCTGGGCGTGTGTCTCAGGAGGAACAGTTCACCGGTGAAAGCCGTTTCCCTGTCTAAGCTGGGATTTTGTGTGTTATTATCGAGATGTATTCAACGGCAACGCTCCAATAGTATACATAGCGTTCATCGTCAAGGTTGCAAATATTCGACTGCACTCTGTAGTATGTGCACCAGGTCACTGGCCGAGCCCAGCCACGCAGCAACTTAGCAAGAGAGTGGCCGACCATTTCTATCTCCGATCGAGCACGGGAAGTAATCCTCCACAAGGCATGTGAGAGTAACGAGCTGCACGCCAGAGCATATGCGGATGTGCTCCAGTCTGTGCGGATTTAGACATTGGCTATAGTGGATGCGTAGTGGACGTGCTTTATGTCCTGTCCTGTCCTGTGCTATGTTAGATATGGTTATCCTTGTCGTATGTATTGAAGAGCCCCCAAATCAATGTCGAAGCGAACCCCAACAGACAACAAGCGGGCCCTATTCTCTTCGTGATCACGAATCCTGGATTATAGCCTAGAGGTTAGAACTTGTACAGATTGGTCGTTTCAGGCCTGGCGCTGATTGTTTGGTCTCGACTCGGTTCTATCTTGTCCTGTTTCCCCTGGTCAAAAAACCAGAAGAGTAGTGAAAGAGAAATAAGGCTAACTAACGTGTCGCGCTTCCGCGCCTTCAACCACAATCCATGGATAGTCGTGTAGGGATAGAAATGGGTTGAGTCTCTCGCTTCGGCAAGGCCTAGGTGTTTGAAAGATGCCCCGATATTTACCCTTGGTATTGGTTCTCTGCAGTATTAGGTATAACTCATCGAACAAAGGCCATGGGTATGGTAGCCGCCCCTGGTGGCATCGTGACGACAATAACACGCGATTAGGATGCCACACCCGCGACTGATTAGGTTTCTGTATTATGCTCTGCGTGCATGACATGCGAAACCTGAAGGAGGCGAGAGAAGTAGTTATGCAGTACTGTACTGTGGTAGGTACAGTGGAAGTCTGGACACAACCAGCAGCCGTGGAGGGTTTCGAATCGAGCGATGTGGTATCTGTAGAGTGTAGGTAGGTAGACGGATAACCAGTGTTGGAGATACGAGCCTGACTGTGCTCGTACTGTGGGGATAGCCGTTGAGGGCGGCCGTTGGGAAGGGGCACGGCCCCGTCCGCTCTTGTCTTTTCCTGGCTCGCTTCTGGCATTTTTGCGTCTCTAGTGCATCAATCTTGCGTATTAGTGGTGCATACCCTGGTCGCACTTTCTCCTCGTACATCTCCTTGCTTCGTCCAGTACAGAGTACATATCTACCAGAAAGCAAGAGCCATCATGTACCCCACCCAACATCCTTCCTCGTGCCCTTGTCTCATCTTTTTTAGACCTGGACCTTGTTCGTTCTGATATCCTTTTCTCCACCAACAAACCAACCAACGATATCGCGAGACATTGATGCAACGGCACGTCCTTGAAGCCATCTCCAAATGGGCGTCCATTTTGAACCTTGCGCATTCCTCCCTCGCGCGTCTCCACGAGAAGAGCCACAGAAAGCTTGACCATAGAACCTATGACGGCAATTGCTGAGTCGTGACAGCTCTTGAGAGACCCTGTTGCAGTTCCTTGCCTCTACGTGTCTCTGCGCAATGCTCTGCGAAGGCCGTAATCGTCTTCGTCATGATGAACATCGGGCACGTTTATTCTGTCTTACCAGCAAGGATCATGAAATCCAGGGAAATGGAATGGCGGTCCGGTCTAAAAGCCACATGGCTCAGCGCATGTAGCCACAATCTTGTTCTTGGACTGGAACAAACGCCCACTGCAGAATATGCCAGCTACAATCCTGAATCTCATTCAAACACAAGGCTGCATGCCGGAGCAAGCTTCTCCGCACGTTCGGCCAAATTCAATTCCAGTATCATGCGGCACAAGCATATCCAAGTCTGAAGATGGTCGCCTCGCTCGCAGACAATTAATATACACTTTACGACACAGGCCACCGCATGGGCATCCTTGGTTAGCTCATGGGCCTGTGGTTCGCGCTATCTTCTCCAGGTCGCCTGCTGTCATTACTGCAGGGCTTTCGATACTGTACTGTATACATACGTACATGCGTGCGTGCGTGCGTGCGTGCGTGCATACAGCATTGCTGCTTGTCGTAATGCCACAATATGCAAGTAGCGCGCGCCCGCCCCTGCTACTGACACTGCTGAGAATGGTTGATGCAATGATGGAGAGCTCAATGATTGTGCCGGGGCCGCGCCGTTCACTCCACCTTCTCCGTCTGCCTCCGCTAAAAAGGTTTGAGTAAGCATAAGCTAAGCTGTCTCTTTTGCCAGACCAAGAAGGTACTCCATTCTCTCATCTCCCGAGTCGATCCCAAAACGGATCGTGTTCAAATTCAGAGCTGCTCCGGCTTGTGGCCGGGCTTCCATTCAACTGCTCACCGAGTTAACGATGAATTGCAGGCACCTCAGTCGCCTCTGCCCGATAACGCCCTGTATTAATGGTGTTCCAGGGCCACTTGTACTCGCCAACGCGCAACGCATCATAACCACGACCTGATCATGATGCCTATGGGCGGAAATCTCCTTCACGCAGGCAGGCAAACCCTGGTCAATAGCAAAACTCTTCAAACCTGAGTTTTCCTCTGTTTCCTCGCCTCCCTGCTTTTGTGAATTGCCCCATTAGCAACTCTGTCCAACGGTTTTCTAGAAATTTGCGGGCCAGCAACCTTCACCACACGTCGGAGGATTCTTCTCTCAGAATCAACTTACCCCGGTCAGACATCAGAGCTTGGGATTGGCCATCAATAGGCCAGCTTGATTGAGGAGGGAGGGGGCTGCCGGGCCCTCAGAGATAGTCCCCGTGTCCCCGCTCGACCCATTTCCTCGTCAGTTTCTATCCATCTCATCCCAACCGGCATGGATGGGGTAACTAGTACGTGGGACCTTGCGCTACACATGCCATGTTCTTATCCAAACTTTAGCGTCATGACTTGTCAACAGTACATAGCCTTCTCTTAATGCTGGATTTTCGAGCAGGGATGTTCTCGAACCCCTCGGTAGACGCTGACGAGGGGATGGCATGGCAAGGGACTGCGTGCTGGGGCGTGTCTGGGATCTCTTCTCTTACCCTCGCGTCAAGGCCCTGGTTCTCTCCCAAAAGCCCGTCGGTCATGTATTCAACTTCTGTTAACCTGCCAGTATCCGGCAGTTTACGGTTCCTTTAGAACATATCAAATAGTGTTTGGCGCATAGTATAGCTTCGTCCTAGTCCCATTGTACGCTCCATCTATCCTCATCAGGCCTATTTCTACCCCCAAAGCAGCGTACAACGAAGCTCGTCGTTAACTGCGCACGTTCTCTACCTATGCTCAAGTCTAATTCACGGCTATTATATCGTGCTACGGATTATTACACTGGATGAAGAAGTCCAGGCACCCCCATTACCATCAAAGTATTTGCATAAAATCAGCCTCCAATATCACAACAGGCTGTATTTGTTTCTCAGATCCGCCCCTCCACTCCCATCCTCCTTCCAAGAACGGCCGCATGCGCTGAAGTGGTCTCCTAGTCCACTGGCATTCATGACCCGTCCTTCTTGAGCGAGAGCTCCTGATCAGAACCCTCTCCGGAGTTGACACCAGGTCCTGTCAACAGCACTGACCCAAGTCCCTGTGCCTGGACCTCGAAACATCCCCCCGTCAAAGTCGGTCTCCACCCTGGAGACAGTGCCGGGTGTTGTACTAAACACTCCCCTCCATCATCTGCCGTTCCTCTGGCCGCCATCCATTTCCATATACAAGTACACACTTGCACCTTCAACCTCGAATATCACTCCCCCGGGTCTTGGATACTGTATCGTGTTCTTCTTTCGCTTTTCATCTCAACCTGCGCCAAACACATTCTGTGTGTTTCTTTACCTCGATACTCGCTACTTGGCTTGTTCTGTTTCGAGGTTTATGTTCTCAGGACCACGTTACTAGTGACAGGTCATACCAGGCAGTTCGGTCTGGCTGAGGAGGTGACTATTTGAATAGGTTATGCTCTCATGACAACCGCAGCGGCATACCCGGCCACTATGGCAGACTTAAGAGGACACCCTGGACATTCGAGTATGTGGTCAAGCTATGGAGGCTCAGTACACATGCCTGGGCGCGTGGCGGACCCCATGCCGTCAACTTCATCACCTCTACCCGGAAGAACTGGCAGTAACCATAACGAGATGGAGCAACACTCTTACCCCTACAGTCGATATCCCCAGGACGACCAAGAAGCATACGACAGACCTACACACCCAGAAATCGTCTCTCACCATGGCTACCCTACGCTCAAGAGATCCTTTTCTGAAGCAGAGCCGCCTGCCTACCAGGAGATTGTCCAGGACCTTCGCGACGACAGCTCTAAGATGACGGCCAGCCACGAGCACAAGTTACTGGCCTTCAAGAGAACGCAGGATAAGCACACGATTGTCGACCAACAAGGTCGCATGCAGCAACTTGAACTATCAGCTCAGCTGCATGGGATGTTCTTCCTTTCCGAGATGCCTGCGAACACATCAGATGGTTCACTTAGGCAGCCTGAACTAACCTGCTACCGAAGGAATCTATTCCAGATCAGCGGTACTCTTGTCACTCCACGTGGTCAACTTTCCGTGATTACAGAATCAGGAGAGACCGTTGCAGTCAGCAACATGGAAGTCACCATCTCTGCCATCGAGTCGGTCGATGGCAACCCTGTGCGATTGATCGTTATCCCATGGAAGACCCCTCCACCGAACTCTCCGGAGACAAACCAGAGCCCAGACCAGGAACCACAATCGTTACCCCTGATTCCTTTCCAAGACGACGGAACTGAATCGGATGGCGAGTATGCTGTGTACCCAATTGGCTGGCGTCGATTGCAATTCAGAATGTATGGATCTTGATCAAGTCGTTTTTGGAACCTACTAATACAATTACAGTGCAACCGCAAACAACGGCCGCCGAAAGGAGCTTCAGCAACACTTTGTGCTGCATCTGAAGGTGGTAGGAACACTGGCCAACGGTAACAAGACCGTTCTTACAGAATCAACAACGGCCCCTATTGTTGTGCGAGGTCGAAGCCCTCGCAACTTCCAGGCCCGGAAGGAAATCCCCCTGCTCGGATCGAGTGCTGGCTCCCGTGGACAAGCCCTTGTAGAGACAGGGTTGGGTGTTGTGGCCGGACCTTTGAGCGCAAAGCATCAAGAAACAAAGCCAAGAGGCGTTGATGCCCAGCTTCCACGGACTGCCTTTACTTTCAATGCGCCTAAGATCCCTGGTACCCAGTTGGGCCCAATACGATCCAAGTGAGTTTGCCGAAAGAGTCGATTTAGGGAGGGCGAAGCTTCGTTCCGGCATTGCCCAGGCCTAAATCGATGCGACCTATGGGAGAATCTTGCTGACTGACATGATAGCTCGTATCCAACTTGGGGGACCCCCCCTACTCAGGTGCCAATAGGCCATGTTCCAACATCTGGCGCAGAGAACTACCCTTCAGCAACGATGGGTCCTTTGGCAGGTACTGCCAGTTTCCCGGCCGAATCACAAGGAATGCCTATTCAATCATCAATGGAACCTCCAGTGCCCCTTTCCATGGTGACCAATGATTCGGAGCATCCGCCGGTTCGGTCACAATACACCTATATGCAGACGACAACTGCCCCTCCGCAACTTTCGATACAAACAACTCCGCTTGGCGGCCATGAGCAGGCAATGAACATCCCTCGTTACGTCGATAACCCGAGACCGTTGAAAAGTCCCCGACACATGAGCCATCCTTCGATAAGGAGTGCAGGTTCAGTAGCGAATAACGAAGCTTCTCCGGAATATCGATACACACCTTATGCTCCTGTTCACCCGAGTCCTAGCGAGGTAGCGCAGCCAAGCTACAGTTCAGAAACATCTGGCCCACCTTCGGTCCCTGCCAGGGACTACTATGCGCCCCCGCATACCTGGACATCGGCAGCTGGGGAGCACAACACGAATCTGGCGTATGCCAACAACGAAACACGACCATACCCCTTTCCTCAGGACGAGTACAAGAACACAACGGCTGGAACGTCCCCAACAAAGGCAGAGTCGAGCCAACCGCAGCCTACATCAGTTTATAATGGGGCTCCGCGAGGGTCCTTTGATGCCATGCATCAATATTCTTGGAATGGCAATTAGACTTCTGCGTCTCTTCTTCGAACCTTGTACTCGACGATATATGAAAAGTTGACATCATAGGATACTGGCCCTACGATCAGCATGAAGACCACTGACTGGTGGAACGCTTGGTTCGTTCGTCAGTGAGCTTGTAAAATACCCACAGGAGTTTTTCTTTCTTTCTATTTTATGACGGATGGTGTTGGCAATCTGAACTGGGCGGCTTGCACTGATTTTGAAACATTGGATACCTGAGATGGAAGTAGACGGAGCGATGAGGAGGAGAACGAAGATGAAGACGTATTAATCGAGGGTCGAAAAGGCCGGACTGAGATGGTGGAAAAGAGTTGATACACGAAACCGGATGACGGACGATTAGAGGTTAATGACGCTGCGGACGATGAGAATGGAACGAGTCGACGTCTTATCAAGCAGAGCGGCTAGTTCTGCCATGATTCCAGACGGACGCTGTTGCATGGCTGGGGCTAAACGGTGGTTTAGGCGAAACAAGGGCGTAACTCATTCCCTGATTTTCTTTGTACTTTTTTTTTTTTTCGTTCTGGGTATATATCTGTTGGTTATACCCCTTCGCCTTATGGCGGAGATGTTTTGTCAAGCGGTCTATCGAGAAGATTGCTGCTGAGATCGATTTCCCTTATGTATTGATGAAGTAATCCGCAGAGAATTGAACTGCAATGAAACAATATCCGCTCATCGTGACTTGGTTGGTTCGATTCGACATGTATGTTTCAAAATGATGTTGTATGTTGCCTCTTTGCTGATGAAGTTGTGAGAGTAAAAGATGAAGTATCCGTAGAGTAGAACCAGTTCCCACCTACTGCAGTAGGCATATATATATATATATAGTATACGGCTTACTTGTCCTGGTATTGATAATTAGGCCATGTTGGGAAATTCGTATGCAGGCTGAAATTGCGATGAGACCAATAGTTCCTCTTGACGTCGCGCCAGATTCTAGCGAAACTCTCTATGCCGGAACAGAAGTCGTGCACGACGATCTCGGGGGCATTGAGGCTGTTTATACTTATTTGACGACAAAGTATCCGTAAAAGGTGACTGAGGTAACAGTTTTGTCGCACCATTGGTCAGAGGTGACGTTTCTGCCATACATCCTCCGAGGCTCGGGCCATTTGATGCCATGTTCCCTCATGCTCGTGTCAAATGCCAAGTTGATGATCTGACAGCCTGGTCATTGTTATGGCTCTAAGCAGGGCTATCGTGGGAGATGGCGTCGTTGATAGACATTAGAGGGGTGGGACATGATGTTCTGCAAGGGCTGGAAAGAGCTTGATTGGTTGGCAGTTTCAGCTGAAGGCAATGCCCATCAATTAATGCCGAGGGAAGGATCACAGATGCCTAGTTTAGTACAGTAACTTAGTAAGTAGTTGCGTGAAGAGGTATGCCGAAGTCCGAAGATGCCGAAGGGTTTCTATGAGCAATTGTTAACTACCAATTGCCATTCGATCTATGGATGTTAGTGACAGTTCCAAAGCCAAGCTAATCCTATATGCATATGTAGTAACTTATGCACTGCACGGCACAGCTTTCTACTATGGTCTTGGCTGACACTAACCCAACGTAAACCCAAGTGTGGCAGTTTTGGTGGCTTAGCTAGCTTAACTACGCGGAGCGATAAGATAAGAAAAACCGTGGCCGAAATTTAGGTTGTATCGCGAGTCTTCAGACTCTACAGCTTGTAGCAGCGTGGCATTTGATTCAATCAACAGCTCTATCTATCAATATTGTTCTTTCCTCATCACATCTCTCTTTAATACTGACATAATCTCATTCGCGAGAACTGTTGCCATTCCGACGCCTGTCGCCGTTACCAATGACCCGCTCATAATATAAGCCCACCTCCAGACATTTCCAAATATCTCAGTATCTCATCTCATCGGGAAAACCACCATGTTTGAAGTTCCCGAGGCAAAGAGGTAACAATACAGCCTTGCAATAAGAGATAAGTACTAACCCGGCCACTAGAGTCCGCAGAGAGGACCTGAATGTGTCAGATGATGGCGAGAATGAGAGTGATGATGGACTTCAAGACGCCGAGCTGCGTGCAAAGTTTCATGCACAAATGGCGAGATCATTGGGCTTGGATATTGATATGGGGCTGACTTCAGATGCTCCCATGAAGGAGTCTCGATCAGCAAGCAGAAAAGAGACGGATGACAAAGATATAATGGACGTGGACGCCAATGAGGCAGCGGAGGAGGACGACCATGAAGAGGAGTTCGCCTTTCGACTTTTCAGCAAAGCACCGGCGACACAAAAAGTTGTATTGGAAGAAGACACAGGGCCGACAGGCACCGGCGTGTTTGTCAGTGGTCGGCCTCTATCCTACTACATTGTGACAAATGTACCAGCACAACAAAAACAAGAATATGCTATAGCCTCTATTAGCGGCGACGAAGTACTTGCAAGATCAGGCGACAGAGCCTGGGGGCTCGAGCTTCCCTGGAAGGTCACGAAACTCACCATTAGTCGAAAAGTCAACCCCGATGAGAAAGCAGAAGGAGAAGGAGAAGGAGAAGAGACTAGAGGGAAACGAAGACCTGGAAAAAAGCAACGAATATCACTAAGGAAACGGGCCAAGGCGAAGGAAGAGAAGAAGGCAGCTGATGCGAAGAAAATGGCAGACAAGGAAGAACATATCAAGGACAAGAAAAAAAGGATGAACAGATTGAAGAAGTTGAGGAAGAGGGCCAAGGCGAGAGAACAGAAGCAAACAACCAAAGGAGAGGATGGGCAGAGCGACGAGTCGGACGGAGATTCAGGTTCTGAGTAGCGATAATCTACTATTGACACTCGAATCTAACAATGTCACTCACTGTATTATTTTCAAGTTCCAATTTCTACGGGGGAGAAAAAAAAGGACTGGTAGGGTATCAATTCAATTCACCTCGTATTGATTGGAGATTCAACGCATTCAACTTGTTAGTGAGGAGGCTTGAGACAATTTGAACTAACAAAAGGCAATTGTGACGACCAGTCCAGAGTCATAGTGAAGGGAAGCTGGAGGGAGGGGACCCTTGTTTATTCTTTTGGGCTGTACCTGCCTACTAACTAGACTAGTGCCCACCAATGAACTTTGGCGGGCGCGACCCCAAATCTCCAAGGCTGAGCTGTCTGTACCTTCCACCTTTAAGCAAGGTACCTACCTACCTTACCGGGCTTCCATGCTATAACCACGACCTACCGACTAACCTAGGCCACGTCTACAGTCCCTCCACGTCCAAAACAAATCCATCATTTCTGTTCTTGTCAGAGCTACAGTAGAAATAGATCCTCGCAATTTTCTGGTAATCAGCATACCATCAAAAGCAGCAATTCTTTCCCATGACGATGACTTAAGCCCCGAAACAAAAAACCGATATCGACTTTGGCGGGGCATTGTTTAGATCAACCTCACGACCACATCAGAAAGACACCATGAGCAACGCTTGGCCTTCCGGGGCCGCTCAAGATGGCGCCCAACCCGATACACCCATAGAAGACGTCGCCGATACTGGTGAGATCGCGGATCTGCCCGGTGAGGCTGAACAACCCGATCTGCCACCTGTTCCTGCGCCGCCAACAACATCACGGCCTCCTCTTCAGCGCAACAATTTGCAAGGCATTCCTCCAGCCGCGCCTATGGCACCCCCTCCCTCGAACGACCAACCGCCTGCGACCGACTCCCTCTCTCTGCAACAGTTGCGCCACATTGTGGCCGAGTTTAATCGTGCTGAGCCTGTTGCCTACGATTTTGAGTACACCGACATAGGTCCCCATGCCGAAGAGATAGACGAATGGTTCACTTATCAGGTGCCCCAGTGGGTGCGCCTCAGTGCTGCGCAAGGAGCGTTTAAGTGGCACTGGCAGCATGAGGCGAGGTCTCAGGACACATGGGATGATGCAGACAACGACACGCGGACACGATTTGTTCAAACAGCTATTGCGGGTGTGCAGTCCAATGATGCTGCATTGAGGTCAGCATCGATTGGGAAATTAGTATATCTTGTGTTAGGACGCTGGAACGACACGGCTATGTCGAATGCGACGCCTGGGGATAGCCGGTCTGTTGCCAGTATTTCGCAGTTGCAAGCTATCAAGGCCGGGGTTGAATGCCTCACATCCTTGGACGGCTTACCTGTCATTTGGGAAGCTCTGCGGCATAGTTTCGAAGTACAATGGTAAGTGAGCGGGTTGTCTTGTCACCACATACGATTTGAAGCTGACAATCGATCATAGGTCAGGGGAACCTCTGGGGCAGCATACTAGCGCCCAGGAAGCCCAAGATGAGTTGTTAAACCTCATGACTATTATGTACATTGCGATACAAGAGACCTTGAATGACCCAGAAGACATGGCTTCTACATACGGAAAGCTTTGTGAGTTGGTTCTCAAATTTGTTCTTGATCATGGCTGATACAAATAGTGGAACTTAACCCCTCGTTGGTTGATTATATGTTTACAGCAACCTCGAAACTACGTTGGGATGAGCAAAATGCTATGCCTCAGACCCAGGTAAGATATGACCTTCGATCTAGGGGGAATCATGCTCACGCTGTTTTAGATACTTTTACTGTTCTGGAAATCGATCTTATTGGTTTTTGGCGGCACCGAGGAGCTTGAAGCCATCAAAAAAGCAACCAACGAAATGGGTGATCAGGCAGCTGATAAAAAGACCATCACGGCCTCACCCTTAGACTACCATGTCTTCCGTCAAGAAATCACCTCAAAATATCCAGCATATGTTCCTCCACGCCCAGCCATTCCCCTCGAAGCAGATAACACCTCTCTATTGCCCCCTCTCTCAAGCCAAGTATCGAGGAATAATGGAGCTAACGGTATCATTCCCGCACCGCCTCAAATCCACAATGGGGGGACGTCAATTCTTGACCAGCCGGTACATATTGCAACTCCTGCCCCGTCACCACCCCCATCACCAGCGGTGGGCGGCAAAGGAGGTAAGAAACAAAATTACCAGACGAATCAGAACTTCCCTTTCATGTATCCACCTCTAGATGCCTCGAGTAACTATGCTGGTGGTAAGGGACCTGCAGGCAATGCCCTCGTTGGCCGAAAATGGGAGGGAAGTGACATTCCCGCCTCTATTCTTGAGGCCGGAGAGCTATTTTCTAAACGAGTCAGGATGACTCGGGCAACCCGTCAACTTTGGGAAGAACGCGAGCGCTTTCTCAAGTTCGAGCGCGGCTATAATAGTGACCTAGACGACGACGATGAAATCGAGGGTCTGGATCTCAACCAACTTACTCTAGAAGAGCAGGAGATACTCAAAGAGATTAAGGCAGAAACCAAGGCCGAGGAAAAGGCCAAAAACCCAGTTGCCCCCAAACCAGAGATAGACTTTGGTCCTCGGCCAGAACTTTTGTCTGAACGAGACAAACAGCGACTTATTGCTGTGGAAAAGTTTTATGTGAGTATCAGTTATGCGAGACCTAAGCCGATATATACTGACATATTACAGCGTGATGCCTTGCCTCATCTTCAATCGCTTGTAATAGTACTGCTACGACCGATTCTTCTTAATGTGACAGCAATCGTCTCACAGCAGCCTCAACAAGTACCTCCGGCGATGGGCAGAGGAAATAACCCTGGGATGAACGGCGGCCCTGCAGCTAATAGGCAACAACAGGAAATGCCAGGGCAAAATCCCCCCAAGCCCCCAACGCCAGAATTAACCCTGGAAGAAGTTGACGCTGCAAGGACGCGGGAAATCACTTCGAAAGCCATGACGGGAATCTTGATCCTGTTATTGAAATGGCTGCGGGTTTCTCGTAAGTTTGATGCATAACTGCTGGACTATGCATTTGACTAATATCAATCAGATGTGCTCAAATTTGAGTACATGACACAACTTCTACTGGACTCCAACTACGTCCCTCTCGTTCTCAAACTCTTTGCTCATCAAGATGTTCAGCAAGTGGTTGACAGCAAAATGGACCGTGCTGAGAACAGGTAAGTGGAGCGCTTTCAGCATACGAAGACTGGCTAATAGTTATCAGCTTCTTCCACTTCTGCAACCTGTTGTCACAATCCAGAGATAAGACAAGCTCAGATGCGGCGCAAGATGACGAAGATGATGAAGAGATAGAGGAGAGCGAAGATGAGGCAGCGCCCCCGCCAATTAAGTTGCGGCGATCGCTGCCAACACAGCATGACGACGACGCAGATTCCAACAGTGATGGCCAGGCATCTTCGACGAGGCCTGAAGTCGATGAGCTCGGTTATCCTCTGAACTCACAACCGACAGAGCCTATTACAGACTTCTCGCGGCGTAACTTTTTCTCTCTTATCAACTACCTTAGAGTGATGCAAAAGATTTGCAAAAACAAAGCACACCGAAACTTGTTACTTGTCCAGTACAAGTCGTCGACTATTCTTCGAAAGTCTCTCAAAGTGCCCCAGCCGGAGCTACGCCTCTACACACTCAAGTTGTTCAAAAACCAAGTTCCATATTGCGGCCGTAAGTGGCGCCAGAGCAACATGCGTGTTATCACGGCGATTTATCTACATTGTCGACCAGAGCTGAAGGACGAATGGCTTGCGGGCAGCGACGTGGACGCTGAGGTGGATGCCGCGCTTCCATTGGAGCAAGCATTGCGGAGTCTTACCCACTGGCTCAATGTTCGACGGTACCCGGACAAGATAGCTCCAGATATTCGAGCTGCCATGCGCGATGACCAAGACTTTTTCTCTCGGGAGCTAGAGAAGCTGGAATTAAATTGGACAGATGGAGGGGGCGATGACGGAATGAGCGAATTGGAGCCCGGAGAAGCCTGGTGATTGTTGTACATACAAGGGGTTCTCATGGGACAACTCTTGGTTGAGAGAAGTTGACACCATCTATTTGGTGTTTGTATATGAATTCAGCAAAGAAGAATACCAGAATCAGCGAATTTACTTCAAGTCTGCCCAACAAATAACAGGCTTTCGAGTCACCAGCATGCGAATTAAGAGTGTACATATAATTAATTATTCATTAATGGGCTTGTTAGGCCGTGTCGTCTATCGTCATGTGGAAATATGAATGTTCGTAAGTAAACAGTTACCTCAGTAACAGCATCCATCCGGGTATCATTCTGAGTTTTTCAATGTTTTTTTCTTGGTGATTTCTCCCTCCATGGTTTGCATAAATTAAGCCCGGTCGTAGACACCATCTTCATATCGGTAGTTTGGGTTCTCAGCCTGGCGAGCAGGCGGGTGAGTGACACCATACTCAGGCTCGGGATAGTGAATCTGGCCGTAGCCATCCTGACGTCCGTGAGTATCGTCCTGATGGCTGAAACCGTTGTCATACTTGTTGTAGGCGTTGGTGTTATCGGGGAAGTTGTTGACAGCAGTGCGGTCAGTTGCATGACTCTGGCGGTAGGTGTCGAGCTGATCAGGGTGAGTGTGTTCGGGCAGATCATGACCTTCTCCGGCGGCAGCAGTCTTGCGGCGACGGAAAAGGCGACCCAGGAAACCACCCTTGGCGCCGTAGCCGGAGGTGTAGTCGTTGGCGGGACTAGGGCCAAAGCGCTTCTCCTTGCGGTGGTGGCGGGCAAGGGCAACCTCTGTAAGAATAGACAAGATGAAGAAGATACTGGGTTATTGTTAGTCTTGGTACCTATTTTGCTAACTACATTGTTGAAGACTTACATGGCAACGATGGCGACAGCTAGACAAGCAGACTGTAGCTTGCAAGCGGTACGGTAGCTCGGCAAGGCAGTGAAGCCATCACTTCCCTCGGCAGTATTGGCAGCCTTTCCTCGTCCAAAAGGAGTGTCGAGATATCCAGTGCAGCTGCTGGCACCACCCTTGTTGGCGACAGCAACGTAGATGAAAGCGCCGATAAAGGCGATATCCAGAATAATAGCCAGGAAAGATGAGAGAGTACGACCGGCAAGGCAGCACAGGAGGAGCAGAGCGGCGGCGGTATAGAGAACGGCAACTCCAGAAATACCCTCGACAGCACGGATGGTGTCGCTGATTTTGAGATTGTGGTTATGTAGGGTTGCTAGGAAGTACGAGTAGATGGCGAGGATGAGAGCTGCGCAGGCGAATTGGACACCACGGATGAACCATTGAAGGAACTTGAGGGCAGTGCCCGATTTAGCACCCATGATTACTTAGGAGACGAGTGTTTTGGTTTGAGGAATAAGAATATAGATATTGATATATTAGATGGAGGAGAGGTGAGGTGAAAATAAGTTAAGTTGTGAGGGGAAGGTAGATGAGATGAGATGATATGAGAGGAAGGAAGCAGGTGATTTAAGTGGTTTTTTCAACTCGACCAACAAAGAGGGAAAGAGAAGCTTGAGGTTGCGCAAGACACATTACGTAGCAAGAAAATAGATTCAGGGATGGCCATGTCCCATTGAAAACGTCGAATTCTGATTGAATGGAGATGGCCGAGCTTGGGCTGATCATCTTGTAAGTGGCGATGCTAAACAGAACCGAGCTTTAATGATGACGACGTGTGGTGTGTGGTGTGTGGTGTGTGGCTGAAGAGATGATGATTGGTTGAGAAAGGAAGCACAGCCTTTATAGTTGGTCTTGGCCAATGGCGCAGTGTGGCTTGAATGGGTCTCTGAGTGGAGGATCATGAAGAGAGAGAGAGAGAGAGCATGGCTGAGCATTCTGTCAGTTGATCTTTATTCAATAGTAGAATAGAATAAATAAGATACTTGCTCAAATCGCTTTATTTACGTGTTGACCTGAGAATCCGCTGTACTGTAGAGTTTGGTGGAGTGAAAGTGAAACCATCCACTGATCATCAGGGTCTCAGTTCTCTACTCTCTACTCTCTACT